CTCCGCCTGGTCCATGGAAGCGATTGTTTGGTAGTTGATCTCGAAATCATAGCTCAACAGAGTGAGTCTCCAGCGTTGGAGACAGTTAGCCATATAGGCAGGCATGCCTTTCTTCGAGCTGAAGATAGCCATCAATGGTTTGTAATCAGTCAGTAGTTTGAATCGGCGGCCGTATGGTATCTTGTGGAATTTCTTCCTTTTAAAGATTATGACTAATGCTCTCTTTTCGATCTGGCTCTTGACAAAATTTTCGTACTGCTTCACAAACCTCAAGTAAGCTGCCGGATTATCATCAAACACTTCCAACTCAACGTTCGGCAAGTCTTATGACGTATGACAACCTGGTAACGGTTGATGGTATGGCATAAGGATAATCATCGGTGGCACGGTCTCTTGACAATCATTCAAAAACTGACTCATTCGATCCATCCTAACGTTAGGTAGGTAACTAGAGGCAGCGAGGTGATCGGGGCAATCAGGACTCACTTCCATTTCTAGCCGCAACTTAGCTATCTGTAACTCACTTTCAGCTTGAAGTTTTTTAACTTCCGCTAGCCTCAAAGCTGCACGCGCACTACTACAACTACTGTGCGATCCAGAGTAAGAAACTATCTCATCAACGGTAGGCAAATTCTCAACTTTTCGGGATTCATTCGTCTCTTCCTTGGCATTCGCGATGGGCTTCTTATTCCTTGGCATTTTGCCATCCTGCGGAACAGAGGTTTCCAAAGCAAAGGCACGTTGATCGCCTGCTTCAAATTCAAGGATCGTTAAGCACTGTAACGCCACAAAGTCTTTCGAAGTTTAAGCCCGCCTATCGCACCGGAATATTCAATATAAAATCAAGTCCGGACTTGAGATAACGGGGCTATTTGTACAAGTTCACCGTAACGAAATGAACATCACCTTAACGATTTCCAAACTAAAAATATGTCAACAATTCGCACTCGGATCGATGGGCAACCCGTGAGTTCAGACGTACGTATGAACACAATGGAATCAAAGTGAGACACACAGGGCTTATGATAAGAACCCAAATGATCCAATGGTAATAGGTATGCGTTCGCCAATGACACTTGCTGCGACTAAGTCTTGTACACCTAGCTGTACAAGCTGTGAGAATAGCACAAATCGCTCGAATCAAGGGAAACAGCGCCATGTCACTAAGCCTGAACATATTGATACTTGTGCGTAGCAGTGAAAACATGGTAGGACGTGGATGAACTAAACATCCGTTGGAACAAAACATGGACAAGTGGACAGGCACACAAATGATGCATGCCAGGCGATGAGGCTGATCAACGTAGCAGTAGGCATTTGCTAGGGGTGAGTCTTGGGTGGTCGCAAATTCGTTCTAAATCCATCACGTCTGGCCTGAGATTACTGAGCACTTGATCCTTCAACATGACAACGCGTCGGGACACCCCGACTCGGTTTCCAGGGAGTTTCTGACTAAAAAAGAACTTCCAGCCCTACCATTGCGGCTTTTTTTGTTCGCCTGGCTGAAGTGGGTCGTGAAAGGACATCATTCTCAGACTCCGTCATTCAAGGCATCACAGCGAGGTACCTTCGCAGCACCACAGCGAAGGAATTTCAGGAATACCTACGAACAATAGAAAGAACGTTTGCTGCGCTCTGTGACTTTACAAGTGTTTTACTTTGAAGATTTTTAAATGTGAGCCGTGTTTTCTTTTTGTAAATTTTCTTTGCCAATACCAATACAAAAAGGTGATTGTGTTTAATGTTCCTGACAAGTTGGGTCTGGATAAAATAAATCTAACGATACTGAAATCTTGTAACATGTCTAATGTTGACTGCAAATGTCAACGTTTAAAAAAGACGACAATGAAACAGTTGTCCAATCATTTTCAAGATTTTAAGCGAGAAAGTCGCGCAGCGTTTCCTCCATTTTTGGACCCATCCTAGGTCAGTGCACCCAATTTAACGGCATTTTGCGTACATCAGATAGGACATCCCTACAAAGGTCCGTACTTGGCACCGTGCCGCGAACACCGAAAAAATAACTAGGCTCTTCGAGAAATCTCAGCCGAACGTCCAAAAGACGAGTGCATCCAAAGTGGATACTAGATGTATCGATTTAGACATCAATAATCTAACAAATTTGTCAACTAGCTCCAAAGCCATCTTTCCTTGCTCCACTGAAACACCCTCTACACAAGGAACGGATAAAGCGGGTTCTACTATTCCTGACAACAACACTCCCATTATATCGAACTCCTCATGCACAAGGATTAAATGAAATTCTAAGTGCTTGGACCAATGGAGTAATGATAACTCGTTGAATATATCACAACCGGGTCCAAACCAACAAAACACGTCCAAGGATAGACAACCTGATGTAATTCATAGTCCACTGTCGCCCAAGAACGAGTTCTCTAATCCAGGGACCTGTGTCTTTAAAAACGCATGGATACTGAACACCCGGTGACACCAAAAATTTCCTATCAACCAACCTCCTACAGTCACCAGGACAAATAACCTTCCATGTTGAATAAGACCAATAACCACTATCTCTTGTCTACGCCTAATTATCATCCTACACTCCTCAACAATCACTGGAAGTGCACAGATAATGGAAGGACATCGACCAGTAGAAATACGTTATCACCCGCTCTTTTACTGTCCGTTCAACCGCTCAAGCGGCTTTTTCCAACAACCAATTTTAGCGGCGATTGGAAGGGACTCGCACCTTTTCCCACCTCAGATACATCCAGTGGAGGTCAACATCTTGATCCCACTAATCCTCCGATTTGTCCAGATGACAAAGCTTGTCCATTGTCAAACCAACCACAACCTAAGCATGATGCCTCGGTTCCTGTCGTGCTCCCAACTGTCTCGATATCCACACATGACGTGCCACACAGCCAGAATATTGTTGCTGGTGGTTTCAACCTACCGAAAATACGCTGTTAATCACACCCAAAGTCTAACTTCCACGCCTTTTTTCTTTCTTTCGTCAGAGCTGGAGGCTAGACACCATGGATTATCAGTCCAACCAGGTCGGCCAATGTACTGGACTAAATATTCACCTTGGAAATACCCAACCCCTAGAACCAGATCTTAAACAATCTCCCTGGCAGCGACCATAAGATGATCCGACTCAGTTTCCAAATTAAAATGGTCCCTAAAATCGCATCTGCACCGCTAGTTGCAACCCATAAGATAAACTGGGAATGCTTTCAGCAGTTCATCCGTTTCTCCGACTGGGATGTATTTTTCCTCTCTACCAGTGTGTACACCTCTGTGGAGCAGTTCTATAAGCAAATCCATCACGTCCTAGCCCTCCTTGGTCCACAATGTATTCATACCCCTTATGCATACAAAGATTCCGTCGAGCACTTACTCAGCAAGAAAACCAGAAAGTTAGCTGCAAGATACAGAAGGACCCATTACTTTCACTTGTCTTACAAATGCATAAAATTTACCACCAGATTCAAACACGCGCAATTAACGTGACGAAAAAATGAAGAACACACAACCTTACGGACAAGCTGCAAAGCTAGGGAGCTTGTCAAAATACTGCATCGTAGAGCCAGTGACCGCTCTCCTCTGATTACCGAAATTATTGATGATGACGGACACTTACTCCATGACCCAGCTGAAATCTGTGAAACGTTCATTGACTTCTTTGTCACTACCATGAGTCGCAAAGCTAACCCGTTGCCTGTGTGCACAGAGCTCATAGAAACAAATCTCTTCAACAGATTCGATATCTCGCTCAACCCTATCCATCAAGTTATCAAATCAATCAGGCCATCTTCCAAGCTGGGATCTGATGGCATTTCACCAACCACCATTAAACTAGGAGGGCCTGATATACCATTGCTTTTTGACTGATCTGTAAGAAAGTGTGCATTCTTCTGCATACCCATCTTAGCATCGATCAGATGAATTGATGTTCTCCTCGTAGTTAGACATGGACTTTTGCTTTGCAGAGCGACCCTATGCGATTGTGTGTACGGCGCAAGCAGAAGACTATTGCGTATCAAAGCATGACAAGGGAGGTGCAGGAAGTGAAGGGGTAAAAGTGAAGTTGGATGGTTGGAAAAGCCGAGCAGAGGGGATAAGAAGTTTGGAAAACCTGCGAAGTAGTTCTCTCACGCCTGTCCACACCGGTCGTTGCAGCACAGAGGGTACGACGATTATCATCTGCAACTGCTAAGAAATCATGGTCCCAGTTTCGATGCCTGCTTTCTCTACTTGTTGATATCATTAAAGGCCGAAACGCGTCATGCAGTGCAGTTTTTTCGGGCGGGCAACGTCCAGTCCCCATCAATTTTCTTTTATTTCGTGGACAGGAGAACCACTGTAGTTCTTTCCCACCTTCTTTGATTTAAGAACCTGGCCACAAATCAGCGAAAGTTTAACAGTCCGTCTTGAGGAATGAGGCGCCACCCTCATCCTAGTCTGTAATACCAGGATATCGGCTTTGTCTAGTTCTAACCATTGACCCATCTGGTACGAAATCACTGAGGTGTGAAATACAGTTTACAGTCAAACGATGTTTTCTTCTTGCCCTGAAGATACTGGGTCGGTCACAAAAGTGCTTGAATCCGTGCTTGGGGTAATTGGCATTCTCTCATTCGGTGTCCTTTTTTCCAATCTGTTACTTCCTCATTTGAATTCTTCCATTTTTGGTTTTGGTTTTCCTCTTTTCACTCTTAATTTCTACTGTTTGTTAGATTCGAGTGTATGCGACTGGTTTTTTCATGCTTGGGCGTTCGGATCACATGTGACAACTCGAAGTTAAGGAACTTAGCTACCTTTTATCAATTTCTGGGTGACTCGTTTTGTGGACTATATCGCACAAACGCTGACCGCGTTACCTTGTGGGCAGCACTTTAGTTCCAAGTTTCGGCTTGTACGAGTTACTAAAATTATCATCACTTCACTGTCGTAGTTCCCCCATCGTTTCATCCATTCCCATTGCATACTAAACACAGCACACTTCATAACAACCGTTTACTATTATTTTCCAGTGTCCATCATCCAACGCCTACGATTGTAAGTCGATCGCCATCGGTTCCAGATCTCAGTCTGCACGTACCTACTTGGAACGCCATTTGACTGAGATTGGCACTGCGTCATTAGATGAGTTAATATTTCATGGGTTGAAAGCTCTCAGTGGAACACTACCAAATGAAGTGGAAATAACAACCAAGGTTAGTTCACTGTGTATGTGCCACTAGATGTTACATTTCACAGCTCTAATGCTGCGTTGTTGAATTTCTCAGTGTACTTTAATTAGTACTCGTATTTCCGGACACTTATATCATTCGTCCCGTCGCAATAAGACTGGACCTTAACGTGGTGCGACGGTTTACGTACCTCCTCGACCCATTGTGCTATACTGGGTGGTTGTTCAATGTTTAGTGGTCAGTCAAATTCAGTCTCCTGGTCCTTCACGTTGTGGGTTTGAAATGGGACGGTGTCCAGTTCTGCAAAATTAAATCACTGCCACCTCTCCGCCACTTTGCGGATAGGCTTTTGAGCCAAAGGTTCGGTTGAGCACCCTACTCGTTTTCCTGTCTAGGTCTGGGCGCTTTGACAGTATCTTAATCCACATGCACTCATGACTGTTCCTTCGAACTTCAACTACATCGGTCGTCTGCAGATCCTCTAGAGCCGCCTTATCTGCTGCATACAGCAGGGCGGATAAGGGAGGACACACTACTGCTTGTGCCTCCCTTCTTTCTTTTCCATCTGTTTCTCTTACTACTCTCCCAACCCCTATTAGTAACCTTCCTTCCATTATTCCCAGCGTAGTTAACATCGGTCGCGACGCCACCGCAGTCACACCATATGCAGCTGCCTTCGTGCACCACCCGCTGGATGCTTCTCGGCAACAGTCCCTTATAAGGCCACGCTGTCCCGTTCCCTTGCGGCGTTCAACATTCGCACTCTAAAACAAATAGTTCAACAGGCCGCGCTCGCACGCACGTTACATATCCGGAACTAGGATCAGAAACCCATCATCCTTATTCTATATTAAATGAAACCGATATGAACCAGACGCTAGTACTCAGTGGTTTTGATTGACGACGTTGAGTACACAAATTACCCCATTCTATTCAACCAGTGCACCACAATTTATTGTGCAACTTTCCCACTTAGCAGACTATTAGAATGTAAGAATCTTCTTTGCTTTCTTCTGTGTTTGTCTCCTGGGTTTCTTTGCCCGGCTATGCTCATCCAGTCACCGAGTTTAGCTCGATCGTCTCTCGCTTTCCGGGCTTCAGACCACTTAGCTACCTCGGTTGGAGTGTGTAACAATTCTTCTAGTCAACTTAGTTTCTTTTCCGTCTCTACTTTTTCTCTACCAAGGTTTTGTGTCACAATCAATTTTGTGATGTCCTGCTCACCAAAATATTAAAGCCTTTGGATACCAATTTGCTTATTCGTTATGGTTTTTTTCACTTTCATTCGGTAACCCCGTTTATCGGCATTGACTCTATTTTTCGTATTTACCTATCTTCGTCTTTTTCCCGAAGATGTTATGGCTTCATTTTTTGTCGTATTTTTTATGCTTTATGCTTCTACAACTAGGTCTTTTTATGCTGGATAAATTTCATTCCACCTTAGTTGCTTTGTTCTGCCTACCTGAATAATCTACTATTAACTTGCACACGTTGCTTACGCTTATTGTGGTTATCTTCGCTAACTCTATTGTGTTTGTAGCAGTTTTTGAGTAACTTCTAGACATTTTGCACTTCCGCGGATTCGTTGCTAACCAACTTACTCCATATGTTAATTTGGCGAAGAGTTAGGTCGGCATAGCCGTATTCTTTAATAGCTATATTTTATTTGATAACGTCAATTCAAGTGATTGCCTGTTACTTGACATTCCCTGTGTAGCTGCGCTTGATGTGCATGTTGACAAGGTGCCTACCTGTCTATTACCCACTACTTCGTCCATATTGGCTCCAGAAGACAGTTGGTCGTTGCTGGAGGGGACGGGGTGCACGGTCCTTGTGGCCGTGTTAGACCCGAAGAGTGGATCCATGCACTCCGTGTGGAGCGGACTACGGTCCAGCCACCGCCTTGTGTGCGTTTGATTCCCCAAATACAGTGTGCTTGTGTTTGCCTGTGAAGGAGTGTGTGCCGGCTCCGTTGATGAAACGTGGCTCCCATTCACATGCCTCCCGGTCTTATTCCTCCGGGTTTACACTGGATATGGGGTGTGTGGTTGGAGCTGTGGGTGGTGCAGCGCAAGCCACCCATGGTCCCTCTGTAGGCGCAGGCATCCTGTGGCTGTCCCTGTGGAGGCCACAGTGACAGGCAAATCCGAAACCGGATGTCACCAACCATGCTTCTCCGGTACCTAGACATACATACTTTCCCAGCTGACGTTTCAACGTTAGTATCGACAATAAACCTTTCACCAACACGATTTTCATCCTGCGCACTCCTCTCACTACAATCAACGATCTCCACAAACTTGATGCTACTCAAGGATTCTCATGAGCAATAAATCTGTTGTCGGTTATTTCCAACTGCTGTTAAGCCGTCGCTATATTTAAACAGACTGTTCTCTTTGAGCGAATATCGTATTTATCTTTTACCATCGGTTCTTCGTATGCCACCCTTAACGGCCGGTTATTTTTTCAAGTAAGAAACTCCTCATTTCCCTTTGAATATTTGTCACGAAAGTTTAACCTTTCTTCGATAATCCGCTTGCTACTGCGTCTCAAAGTATTTAACCTCCTGTTTCTCATCTGTTTTCCCCACCGAACTTCACTGACTTCCAGATAGTTTTTAAACATTTAATTTTATCGTATTTTCGAACCTCCCCTTTTTCACCGGTGGCTGTGGTCACGCCTCGTTTACTGTAATAGTTTAATCACCTCCCTGATCTGTTGTGCTATTACAGCTACCACTTACCAATGGCCTCTCGACCCGCTCGTACGATACAAATCAACGACCAAAGCCCCAACACACTCAACCTCCGCGTCCTCCTCCCAATAAGTTAAGGAGAGATAAATGACTGTCCCCCCTCTCCAATAAAAAAGCTCTGTTCAGTTGGCATAGGGTACTCCTTGCGGGTTGCCTATGGAAGTGTGAATGAATGATTGTTGTTTACTATTTACTGCCTCTTTAAGTCAGGTACCCACATCACAACCCACCTGCGGCTGACTGTGGTCGCCGTTGTAAAATGTCTTCCAATGGAAATATGCATGAATTGCCCCGAACCTTTCAAAGCTATCTGTGGCCAATGTCAAGCAATTACCGCAGCACACTAAAGTTGCCTTCCGGAACTGAATCTGTCCCTGCACCCTACAGATCGGACTTTTTGAGTCAAAGGCTAGAAATGGAAAATCCCGAACAAAAACTCTCCATTGATATATTTTGAATCGAGTGTTGCCTTACACCCCAAAAACTGTTGTCGACGTCCATGATCGTCACTGTCGTCAATCATTGCCGATGACCCGATCAGTGAGATTATCCTGTGCACAGTAACTCGCCAGAAATCTTCTCTCGACTGGTGATCAAACATCCGCAGAGCTTCGCTCGACGAGCACGGGAATCCTTGCACAATCAACCCGAATTGTCGATGTTTCCAATTTGTCATGATAATGTCCCACACGTCCAATAGCAATGTTTACTCCAAACACAGGAATATTAGCCTAGCTCTACAAGTGTCCAAACGACAGGTTTCCATTGTCATCATCCGTTACATCACTTTGGAACTATACGCGGACAAGGCGTTAGCAGTACGTCTATTCGTTTTATGGATGGCTCGCTGCCACACAACCATCAGCAGTTGTCTGCGGGCTAGAGACTCTCCTAGATCGATCACAAACTCGGACTAGCACCGTTCAGACCACAACCTGGATGAATAACACAGGGAGCCGACAAAGACTTCGTATCATTACATCAGTACCACTCTGATATACAATTGACCTATAAAAGCCTAAGGGTGTTACCTGACCAATTGCATCCAGCAGGTTGTGACCGGCGGTGATAGCCGCAAGACCACGACGACCGGAGATTGACAATCGATCTCATCCGACCTGTTGCCAACGCCTTGGCGCATCGCAAGAAACGCGAATTAAGTGGCTGAATAAAATACGAAATGCCGAGACAGAGATAATCCGTTGCTTGGGCACCAAAATGTATTATCCTGTTAATGACGCCGGCGGCTTACATGAACACGGAGCACTAGACGGAGGTTTGTTGACCTCATGTCAAACCCAGTTGGGCCGGTGTGCCTTCACTCTGAAATTCAGAACCCCGTCGACTTTGCCTATGTAGCCTCCTCCTTCTGGCTGTCTAACAAGTATGCCAAATTGCGCGCCTTGTAAAATTTCACCGGAACAACTCATCGAAATGGACGTCTGCCTTGCGCTTCGTCACTTGAAGCGATTCCAGGTTGATGGCTCAGCCGGACTTCCTCCAGAACTGTACAAGTTGGCTGCTGGGAAATTGTCAACCAGACAACGGCTGCGTTTCACGAGATTTGGTATGTAGGAAAGGTCTTATCCTCTTGGACCTATTCGATTATCGTACCGATCTTCAACTAGGGTACCCGTACCTTATCTGCCAACCACATGAGAATCAGGCTAATATTCGTCGCATCCAAAGTCTTAACATCCATTCCACTGCACATGCTAACACCGGCTAGAGAACTACACTCCCGTGAGGAACAGGCTGCTTTCCACCCCGGTCAAGGGTGCGTGGATTACATGTTTACGCTACGCCAACCCGTCGAACATCATCAAGTTTACGGACAGCCTACCATTGTCGCTTTTTTGTACATTCGAGCTGCATTCGACTAGGTTGATCGGCCTGTTTTATGGCGTTATGCACAAAAGTGGATACCCGAAAAGTATGGCTTTATACAACAATGTCTCTGGCAGAGTGAGGGCTTACGGTAAGCTCTCTTCATATTTCGCCGTCACTAGCGGTGTGCGAGAGGGATGGCCCATGTCCCCGTTTCTCTTCAATTTTGCGACTGAGAATGTCTTCTTAAGCGTTATAAAAAGTCTACAGGGTTCTGGTGTGGAGCTTATAGCCCACCGTGCGACTGACTTGGACTATGATGTTAATATTGCCTTGATCGGTGACGCCACACAAATCATGCAGGTCTTATTAAACCGCTTGTTGATGAAGCCACCAAGTATGGTGTACGTTCGTCCCATCGAAATGCAAGGTTCTGCTCCAGAATTGGCGTCAACCTGCTCCCTTGCTTATTCTTGAAGGCACGCGGCTTGAACAAGTAGGAATCTGCTCCATGGGAACTGCCTCTCTGCTGATGATACAATTGGAAGAGAGATTTCTCTCTTATTGCCAAAGCCCCACTAGCTTTCGAGGATCTGAAGCATCTTTGCCATTATCGTGACATTTCACTCTCGCTAAAAAGTAGGGCCTACAATTCCTGTGTTTGCGCGGTACTATTATATGAAAGTGAGTCTGGGCCGATCCATTTAGTTCACTTGTAGGGCATTTGTCTTCCCCGCATTCGCACTGATTTGTGGGTCTCCAGTATCTTTTCGTATCTTTTCCAAAACTACTAATGCCGTCATAATTCAAGATACAACCGCAGCCGCCAATCGCATTCACAATCTGAAACTGTTCTCCCCAGTCATCTGCATACAAGTGCAGCCCGTTGAGTTAGTGAGTAAAGCCCGAATTAACCTGAATCCCCATATGCATCGCCGTCTATCATATTCTCTCGATCGCATAGGATATGATTTGTTTGACCGTCGTCACGGATCCTGCACCATGAATCACCCTTGTTTTATTTAAAGGCACAGGCGCTGTCAGCAAGGTACTCTACTAACCAACTTTTCTCACACCTTTATTGTCTCTATTTTTCTCACACCCATAAATACGATGTGTCTCTTGATGATCTTTGTCGATGATTTGTTTTGCAGAATTGTTCTCTGGGTATAGTTGGCAAGTCTAGCAACTTCACAGTTTACGAGGACGAAGCAGTCGAAAAATTTTTGAAGTTGTTCGAGTTGAAAATTAAAGAAGATTCCTCTGCCTCCGAGACACCTGCCGCGCCAATCCCCATGGAACAGGATCAACCTGCAACGTGACATTTTCCTTCATTCGACTTCCTATCACCAATTTGGCCTGGTCTCTGATAAACTACTTTGCTCTATCTGGTTGTTCTGTATTCCATAGTCCGCTTGTATTTGCAAAGTCATTATAATTCGCGTCTACTTCGCAGTTTCTCAAGCGGTTTTAGGTTCTCGCGAACTTAATCACTCCTAAAACCATCCTCTGTCCTTTATTCTTGTTCGGCGATTGCTACTTTCTTTTGGTTTGACAAATGCGTAATAATTTCATCTTTCTCTTATTTCGGAGATCCTCACTGTTCCTTTGACAAGTATACCTCTTACCTCTGTGGTCATTGGCGGTGCTATTGATTTCCTTAGGTGAAACTATTTTGGTTCGCATCTAACCAGTAGTTCTGCGAATATCCCATACAACAGCGCTCATCATAATGGAGATTACGGTTTTTTATGCACTATAGCCTTAACACACGAAGAGCACAATATAGAGCAGAGTTAATTTACTATGATCATGCACTCGTTCTTTTTTCTCGACAGATTATCACACCGTTCGGTAAACATGTCACAGAGTTGACTCATCATTTTGCACCATTTTTGACCCTATCCAGAAGCGTTTACCTAGTGAACCGCCTGAACTACACAGTCGTTATAGCCTGTTGGCTATTCCCAATCCTCTGTACAGGTCTGATGCATTGGGTCTTATTGAAACTAAACTTGATATTGCTTTACTTAACATCTGGTATATCCGAGTTCCGTTAGATATAACCGTCGAGTAGACTACCTACGTGCTCCGGTAAACCGGCTGTTATCTGGTCACCTTGCCCATCACCGTGAGTTTGTAACCTGGCAACATGCAAAGGTCTTTCTCCCTCCATTATTCGTCATGCTTCTCCGGAGTCAGTTTCTAGATGTCTTCTTAATCGTAAATACTATGCAATTCAGTGATTAAAAGTCAAGCAAACTCAATCTGAGCATCCTCTTCCTATGGGTGTAAAGATAGATATATGTATGACCATCTCCCCTCAGAAATCAACTAATGTAAACAACGATTCACATATCATAAACTTGTTCATTTTGCTTGGAGCACTATCGTTACTGGTTGATTGTGTCCGAAGTCAAGATGGAACAACCATTACGTACCAGTTACCACTGCTTAAAACCAGGTATTCTCTTCAGAAAATACCTGTGGTTACAGCTGTAACATCGGTTGCCATGGCAACACATGTAAGAACGACCGTAGATCTTTAGTTTTCCTGTGATCCACTGTCAGTGGGTACCATTGGACTTTGATGTCACATGGCAGAATGAATTAACCGTCAGTGTCTCATGGATCAGACTGTTGAATCAGAGGCTCCGAATGAAGTCCATAACCAGAGTTCCGCATATTCCACTGCCTTATGATTCGGTCCACTCAATGACTAGATATGCGAAATGTCGAACAAAATCTTTCTTCCGATGTTAACTACGAAATCTCTTCTGTCCCAAAGCTCCAACACCAATGAGCCCCTCCCTTTTTCTTTCGCGTTTTATTAACAAGAACCGTCTGCTTATTTCTCACTTTGTCAGCAATGCACCTAAATTGCCTTCATTTCGCAACTGGCATTTCAACGTCCACACCATGTGTCAGTTCGGTGAACCGATTTTTATTTCTCGTTATGCGCTCTTCAAGTCACGCGTGCATGACCGCAGCGTTTTACTTAACCGGTTTCTCAACTCGGACTTCAACAACGATTATTCGATACTTTTGGGCCACTTAATCTATAGGCTTAGACATCGTTTCGGTGCCTCAGTCAGCAGAACTTCGGGTGGCATTCCCCTCGAATCGATTTCAATGAACAGCCGCACATGCACAGTTCGAGTTGACACATAGTATATGATTACGTAATGTTTTATTGTTCCAACTTTCTTCCCCTCCGACTGCAACTCCGGAGCCGTGAATTGTTCTTCCAACCGGGAACTCCCATCAGTGTGACCAGAAACACAGTTGTTGCAGTCGTCACAAGTTGCCGTATGACCCAGAGGTCATTTCCGAGTCATTGCTGATCGCATTATGAATAATTTTCGATGTGCAGATCACAAACTTTTACTTAACAGCACTGTGTTTGCTCCTCTGAACTCGAATTGGCTTCATTGCAGTCAGTCGCAAATCACTGAAGATTGTCGATCGCTTATCGTGATTCCGACCATGCCCTAGTCTATGCTTATTTTACGCTTTCTTTCCTAGCACCATCAGTTCCCCCATTTCCTAGATTCCTTAGTTGTCGACTGAGTTCAGTATAGCTGTGCTCTTTTACTCGTCATAAATAATGTCCCGGCTAAATGTGTGAGTATTTTGCACTTCCTGTACTTGAAAATAGTTCATGTCATGGTCTTTGACGCAATACCAGACGCTTTCCCGATAGTAGGTAGTGTTTGTCAGCATTGTCCCACTCTGTATCAGATTTTTTGTTCGCTGCACCACGGTAGGTTCCATTGTGGGTTCCCACGAGGCAAGTGAACAGTTCCTTTACGAAATGAAACTGGATGTTAACCACATTGTTCTGTAATAGTGAGGCGTCGCAAGCAACTTTCAATGAACTCCTTGAAGTGTCTCCATCATATCATACGCTGTGTACTTTCAAAATTCTGTTACTGATCGCTACTCGCTTTCTAGTTCTTTGATCCCCTAAAATGGGAGGTTAGCGTCACTTAATCGGTCAATATAACACAACGGCTACATTTGCAGCGATGGACACATATCGGGTAGTTATTTCACCTATGCCATAATCAAAAAGTTCCCTGATGAATCCACACTGCATTTGTTCCCAAGATAATTTTTAAAGGTCATATGCACAAGCTCGCTACGAAAGTTGTTTCCCTCTGCTTCCGTGAGACTTCACTTCATCCATGTAAAGATTAAGAGCGCGTGTAGGTCCTTGATCATTGATGTGTGCGGAACTTTGCTATCGACGAATGATTCCAGAGTGTTCACAGCGGTGAGATCCACAAACTAGTGTCAAACAACGCTAATCGGCCTACGTGCTCGTCATAGCACCATATCAAAGCGAATGGGTGGCGTTGGTTCGGACATGTATTATTTGTGTCTGTTCACGCATTACTGATAAGAGTTTTGTTAGCCATTAATCTGATAGAGGAACTAGGTAGGTGGCCGCCCAGTCTGCTGTGTTGTTGACAAGTCTTACTTATCCGGCTTGTCTGAAGTGTGCACATCGCCGAATTATTTGTTGATCGGACCTAATTATGGGCTTAAACAGTGAAACTCACGAACACTTTTTCTCACCGGTGCATTCTTTAAGTTAGAGCCAGATTACTATTTCACTATTCTGTCGAAAATGTATAGACACTTTGAAGTTCTTACTTTCACAACGTTCATTCCTTAACTTGACTGCGTTTTGATGTGGACAAGCGTGGCTCACGAAATCCGCGACAAAGGGAATGAGTTTGATTTGGAAATGAAATACACCTCAAACTAATTAACAATCATGCACCATTCATAGCTTCAAACTTGGGGCTATTATATTCATTTTAGCGGCACCCTTCACAAGTAATTCCTGCGTACCTAGACGGATTTCAGCCTTGTGTAGATGTACGCTCTTTGGTAGGAGGAGTATGCTGCGTTGCATATCACGCGCCGATTGACTTCTAGCTATCCCCATTTGGATCCGCATTAGACGTCTTGCTGCGTTAGCGCTTCAGTTGGAAAGTCCTTGGCATAGCGAGTCCAGTCTTGTCTACGCTCTCGGCTGGTGGGTTTAAGACATTCCCTGTATACTTATGAGTAGAGGTTCCTTGAATGTAAATAATCACGGGCTTGTTCGCAGCAGCTTCTAACTCAGTTTTCTACACTCCCGGAGCAGCACTAGACGGTCGTCTCGTCCTATGGGACTTGTCAGTAGCGCGCATCTGTCGGCTCCATCAGGATCCGAATCCATGATCACTAGCGGCTTGCACCGCTAGGCTACTGCGAAGGAAGCGTTGAATATCCCCTACTCATGATTATATCAAGATATCCCCTCTAACAACTGAAAGCTGTCGTACATAACTGCTTCTAGTGGAAGTCGTGTCTCCCTGGGCCAACCCTGTTCTCCGAAGCGTTCGTTACTTTCTTGGCAGTAGAGTATAAGACGCGCTATCTCGCAGTTAACTGTAAATCGTAATGATCCTCCGCTGTCACCTATGGTTCAATGGTATAAACTTCTGCCTAGCGGTGCAGGCCACTATTGATCATTGTTTCGAATCCTGATGGAGCCGGTGGATGCGCACTTCTGACTAGTCCCGGTAGAACGAAACGGACGTCTTGTGCTTTTCCGGGTATGTTGGGTGCTGTCTGACTTGAAAGCTGCTGTGTAGAGATTACCAATTGTTTATGTGCCTTGTGTATGTGCAATTGATTTGGTAGTATCCATGGCCCCATTCGGCTGGTGGTGGTCGCATAGCTGCAGAGCGTCGATACGACGTACTCCTGGTACTTCTTTTGCACTCCACGGCGTCCCCATTGCCTATATTGCCGCATCGATGATCTCGTGCAGTTCATCCCCCATTGGTTGGATTCTAGACTTAACGAGCGGTCTCTTCATCTCGTGTATATACGCATCCGATTTTTGTCTTTGTTGCGTTGCCTACTGTAAGCCATTAGTTGCCACCCTTTTGTGTCCATGGCATCTTTGGGATTTGGATCCTTTTGCTCTGTAGATTTGAAGCTAAGTGCGAATAAAAGTGCAAGGAATTCGGGGTTGGAACCTCCAGTTTTTAATCATACGATTAACAGGTTGACAACCAGATTGAATAGAAGAGCACTTTATTTCGCCTTTGCCCCATGGTTTTGATCAGCAAACACTGACTGGTCAGAGTCCCGTTCAAGAATGCATTTTTAATTGTCTCGATTGAATTTCTCTTTCAGGCTCCGCGTGCCTTTTCACTTTATTATTGGCTGACTTCTCTGTAACCTCATGCAATCAAGCGTGGTATTGGCGAACAGTGCATCCCAAAATGGTCGCTAGGCAGTCGCCCGACGAGCGGTGTGATCAGCGTGGATAGTTTGTGTTTGGGAGACTCAGGTGTGACACCAGAGGGTTTGTTGCTGAACACCAGTCAACGGACTACCATAGTACTCGTCTGTTGGTCATGTTGAACGCAAACTAATTTGCGAAAACACTAGTGGTGAAAGATAAAACAGTCCATTGATGTGCGCAGCATGTTCCGATCCGACCCACACAACAACATTGACTACATTCTTAATGCTCTGGCCTCTCGCATGCGAGAGTTTGAGAAGTTATACGACCTACGTGGTTTGGGGAGTGGATGTAATCCCATGGATAACTGATGTTTGGAGACTTCAATTAGTCGCTCAGTGATTATGTGAACCAGTGGCACGATGAACCAGCAGAGCAGTCATAAATAGCCATTTGAATTTGCGTTGCCTTTCCTAGTGACTGCACCTGGTGAAACCGCCTTATCATCCTTTGTTTATTCTACTTGAACCTGGTTAGGCGGCAGACCTGTCGAAATACAAACTAGGTTAGACTGGTGCCCCCAGGATACCTAGATTCCATCCTTAATGCTTTCAAACAGACCGGATTTGCGATGTACTTGTTATTGTTGAAGGGTTCAGGATGATTTCGGTGGAAACAAAATTCCACCAGTATGTTGCTCCCTGCTTGAGCTTTTCTCTGCCAGCATCTGTTGGCCTGTTCTCGTTGCACATAGAATTCATCCAACCATGGTTGACCGTTTGCTTTTTGGATTGGCATCAGCACAGCAACGCGATAAGCAACTAGAGTGTTGTCAACCACACTTCCACCCAGTGTTAGTTTTTGGGTTTGTATAATGTCAGAATTGATTGGAGGTCGTAAACATTTTTCAACACTCCTTGCGACTTCGTCAGCTCACGAAACTCACATGTTGGTGTGTATGTTTTGCTTCAGTTGGCGCGCAATGATCATTTTTGAGTGGCTCCTTTACACAGTGGGGATTCAATCCACACTTGCTGTCATTGTGAATTACTTGAGTATCTGGTATCTTTCGTGATTTTCGCGAATTTTAGATGGGTCTGTCTTCAGCCCAAACTGAGATCAGCTACCTGTGATCGAACTTCTCCCCTTGCTACGGGTGGCCAGAACACAGTCGTCATTCAACTCGTACGATGTTACTGACATTTGGGCACACGATGGAGGGCTGGTTTGTCTCGCAATCCTCACCTTTGTTCAACAAACAAGCGTAAATTCCTTTCCGAGCTGCAACACAAACTAACTACCTCGTAGGCGGCTGGAAGCTCACATCCCAACCATCTGGTGACAAGAAAATCCAGCAATGGACCATGGGTTTGGTTTTTTTTCCGAAGTAATATATGAGCGCATGTACTATCGCCTATTTTCACTGCATTCACTTGCCCTGTTTTACCATCGTTTTGAATGCCGACGCTTAGTCGAGTCTTCTCAATTATATCTGACAACCAGTGGCTCGCTTGCTCATTTGGAAACTAGCAAGAACATGATTCCTGGCTCTAACATGGTCATAGTGGATCCTTTGCATCGTACTGTGGTTCACTCAGCACGACCTCAATGACCACAGTACGGCTAGCGCAGCAGCTTCATCTGTAATGAAGTCGACTAGCAGCCTCTGAGAACCCTGGTGATATGGCTTTTGGTTTTGCGAACGCTGTGAAATGACTTGAAGTAGGTTTTGTTTGGCCATGGTAATTATGCCATCAAGATACATTGGGCTGTTACATTACAGCATTTCAGTGGGGACCTGCTCAATGTCGTTGATCGATTCAAATACTCTGGTGGTTCATGCACCTACGTTTGGCTGATTATCAGTGGGCTTGATCAATCTCATTCCCCTGTGGATCTGATGCAGCGCTAAATTGTCGTCCAGGTCATTACTACCGTATGATCCCGGGGCTTCCGTTCCCTGACGAATACACTGAGGAATGGTTTGTCTTCCATTACCCGTATCTTCGAAACATGGCGCATACCTGGCTAAGTCATCAGCTGAAGTCTGCCAGTTCAACCTTGGATAACGGATCCTCCATCATCGGGCTAGACTGCCTTGCAACCTCATAGTGCCCAAGTTGGTCAACTTGAATTCTCGTGCTTGTCAATATTGTATGTTGTTTGCTGACACTGATCTTAGTTTGACGGTCCTTCCAGGCAACCAGATAGGGGTTGACGGGGAATGTAATTTGGACTAACCGGATGACAGTCGCATGTTTTGTACATTGCCCTTCTTTATGAAAGCCATTGGACAAATAACACTAGTTGCCAGAAAGTTTATTAGATACAGTACAGTCGGAGACCCCATGACTCTCTGTCATCTTTTGTGCTTCTAATCTCAGCCCATGTAATCCGATCGTCTTATTCGTGTCAGCTGCTTGACCTTTGTCTTCTCTACCCTCACGCTTTACTCTCTTTGTTCTTTTAATGGTCACATATAGCACGATGACCGGATGCATCACGATTGGTTGGGTGAAGTTCGCTGCCTTCTTTATGACGTGCTGCTTTGACTTCCTTGTTTTCGTCGCTAATTCGGTAGTTATTTTTTACATTTGTGGCATGTCCTTCATTCACCTTATTCCTTCCTAAGTATTCGTTGAAAGTTCAGTCCATAGCGTTGTATTCCTGATTTAGCGGTAGCCAGGATAGCGATTTTAGAAGGCAGCTCGAGTTGCAGGGAAGCTTTTATTTGTACAGCAAAATGTTCCCTGTTTGCCTAGCTATAAATAAACGACATCGTTGAACACTGCTAGTTAGGGGAACGCAGAATGCACAGCACGCAGGACAGTCGCGCGTTACAAGCGAAACGAGCGCCAAGCAAAATGGCGATGCTCAACTCCAGCAATCGAACTCAGCAACCAGTTCAACAATCACCATCGGTCGCCTAGATATACACTGAAATAATTTTAGTTAGAATTTCACATCGGCAAACCGGGGAATCTCCAGTCTGCTGCACAGGTTACCCTTTGATAAGATCGTCTTTATTTATCCGGAAAATCACTATTAAACCCAACTAATCAACCGTCGATAAGTGGAAAAGCGCTTGACTATTCATTTCTTCTTTCGTGACTCATCTGCGGTATGCATTTCATCGACCCGAAGAAAGACTCGAAACGGTAGGCCAAAACTTGTGAGCAGATACTTGTGCTTCCCTTCCTCTTTAGTCCCTTCTTTTTTGCGGTCTACACGTGGGCTAATTTTTCTACTATTTTTAGGCATATACTACCAGTACTCAGTTCTACAACTGGTATTTCGATCCGGCAGACTTGGCTTCTCATCGTCAGAATTGTAACAGTACAGCTCGAAAACAACTGGCTGAGCGGCTGGCTCATGTGGATGTGGGAGCTGAGAAACCTGTCGATGACCCCGATGAGCTTGCTGTGGGTCTTGACGCGGATGAAGAGTTACTGATCGTGAAACGGTACATTTTTCTCATGAGAGCTCTGTTCGAGAAGTTTGTGCACCCATCTCTACCTGAAGAGGTGAGTCATTGCGAAAAGTTGCTGAAGAACAGTAATGTTCCGATTTCTTAGTACCGCTTGCTTGCCCAACCTGGATGTATCTGGTACTCTGTCCATCTTTCTCGATTCGATTCCTCCTCATCGTTCTACTTTTTCTCACGTCATCTCTCTGAACGATGCTCCATATTTTTCGGGTTCGCTTTTGCTGCTACCGTATTTTTTTTAAATGCCACTCATCAAGGTGAGTAGCTTCATCGGGTCGAACAGGAACAAAATAGTTTTTACCAGAGCCTGTTCATCGTTAACACATCTGTTCTACGGGGGCGTGCTCGGTTCTAGTATGATGTGAGGCTGATATCTGAGCATATTTCAATATGCTTACTGGCTTCGACCTTTTTGATATCGTGGCATTCCCTAACCATCATCAGGTGGCCATCTCGTGTTTACTTGTTCCATCTCCCCCCATACCCGGTGTTATAACCCACACATATCTTCAATCCTGCTATATTTTACCTTGTTTGTACATTTCCTTGCTACAAAGTCATTTGTTATGGCCTCTTCTATCTCAGTATTTCGCTTCTAATATTTAAAACCTTTTTCTCTTCAAGGTCTTTGGATTTGCAGTGACCTACTTCAAACGTTTCTACCTAAATCACTCAGTGATGGACTTCTACCCACGCGAGATGATGCTTACCTGTTTATACGTGGCCTGCAAAGCTGCCGACTTCCCCGTCGGATTGCAAGCGTTCATCGCCCACATACCACGAAACCAGGAGCGCTATAGCCACTTTATCATTAATTCAGAGTTATTTCTGCTGGAATCTCTGAATTACGACCTTTGGGTATTCACACCCTACCGGCCGTTGATGGGTTTGATCATAGACTTGGTCGCATATCAGGTGAGTTTCATGTTTAACACAGTAACGGACTTCGCTGGATAGCATAACCAGTGCTGACTACACTCATTCCCATACCTGTTCTCTGTTTAATGTACGGCATTCAGCATTTACTTGATGCACTTCTACCTAGGGAGTGTTCCTGCTTGGCCGGTACCGAAAAGGGCAACCTTCACTCCAAGTGCATTCTATTTTGGTTATACCGGCCGTTATTCTTTCACTTACACTATCGGTCACTGTTCGCGTCATTCCAGGGAAATGGATGTGCTATCTCACAGTGCAAACTGTCTATCTTTGCATGTGACGTTCATTTGGCTTTACCCAAACGCGCTTCCTATTTCCCAACTGCGTTAACTTGCATACCGAGTGAAATCATTGTCAAGGATCGTTTTTTAACCACTCATGTGAGAACGTCATTCTAACTCACCCGGTGATTCCTCCAAAGACGAACAATGCACCGCGAGCCCATCGGTCAGCTGTTGTCAACCTGCTAGTGTCTTCCGCTTTGATTCATACATCGACCTCAGGCCCAATTCAGCATCGTGCAGTGTCCTTCGTTGACATCGTCATCGGTAACAACAACAACCACTTGAAACACTGAATCCCCTTCAACCACTTCATTAACGCAGTAACAGGACATAGGTTGCGGTATGTTAACATTTCGATTGCTCTCCTCAGCCGCGACGCAATACAGGCAGAAAAAGAACGCATTAAATCCGGACCCCACTTAATAACATAGATAAACACAAAATTGATGTGCATGACGTAATCAGGCCAATGGCAATCTAATGGATTGCCATATAGACGATATTCTCGTGTTTACAAATGGTGAACATTTTAACCGTCTTTTTGCCTTCCTGAACTCAATTCACCCTAACCTTTTTATATCACAGGAGAAGGAACAAGAGAACAGGCTGCCGTTTCTGGCCGTGCTCATTAAGAGAAGGACCGATGACAGATTGCAACGCACTGTGTACAGAACAGCGATCTGGGAGGACAATACCTACATTTTTCCAGCTTCGCCCCCAGTTGTATACAAGCGCGGCCTCGTAAAAACTCTTCTACAGGGCCAGGCGAATTTGCAGCCCGGAATTACTTGAGGTTGAAGAAGAGTTTCTATACCGGACTCTGCTATCCAATGGGTATCCGGAGAAATTCATTCAGACCCACAGCACTCCCCCAATAAAGAAGCTGCTAGTGCAAACAGCGGAGAAGAAGGATGTTTATTTTTTCTTACCGTTCAAGGGGGATCATGTGGCAAATGAAGTTGGTCACAAGCTCAGGTCCGCTCTATTGCGCACCTACTCTACCGCCCAACTACGACTTATCCACACTATACGAAGGATTCCTCTTCACATCCGTCCGAGTAGCTCGCCAATCAGTTCAGCCTCTAACATCATGTACCACTTCACTTACAGTTGCGTTAGCACTTACATCGGCAACATTGGTCGCCGGCTGGCTCAAAGGGTGGCGGAAGACTTCCCATTGTGGCTAATGCAGTTGTCTCACCAAGGCGGAGTGGATCAAAGAATGAACCGGAACCCTGTCTCGTCTATCACTAAAAACCTAATCACGACTCGTCACCAGGTGAACCCATTGGATTCATTCAAGGTGCTGTTGCGCAACAGGAACCCGAAGTTGTTGGCAATTGGCGAGGCGCTACTGCTAAGGTTTAATTTTCCCGTGCTTTGTGCCCAGAAACAACTGAGACGATCAATAAGGATTGCCATGCACCTGATTATGTCATTCACATCAATTTTATGTGTTTATCTGTGTTACTAATTGTGGACCGTACTTAATGCGTATTTTGTTATGCCTGTATTACGTTGCGACTGGCGAGAGCAATCAAAATGTTAACGTATCGCAACCTATGTTTTCTTACAGCGTTACTGAAACAACGACAATGCCAACGCGTTTTTTGTACCGTTACAGCTAGTATACGACCATAAAGACCCCAGTGAATGGAAACACTAACCAGAGGTAGGCTGATGTAGAGCCTGCATGCCTTTGTTGAACGTTCAGCGTTAAAGTCCTCTTCCGTTACCAACAAACACCGTCAAAATGTCTGCTTCTCATGTAACGACAGAGTTGGTGCGATAACTCATGTGTCTTTTGTTTCCCGGTTTATAATAAACCTCGATCCTTAACTAACTCAGTAACATACGACAGCAGGCACCACTGTTGCGCGTCGTGAAGTGAACCATCCAGCAGGGATAGTCAAACAAGTGGTGCGTATTAGGGGCCTAGCCACACTCACTTACAGTGCCCAATAGATCATTCAGTCAGTTCCCGCTGCTAAGTCACAGACTGGTTTCATCAAATCTCACTTCGTCTTTAAAGGATCAGGGGCACTTCGGATCTTGTATCGACACTTCGCTATCACCCAACTTGGTTACATGCACCTTGGGATACTGCAAGGTAACCTGTACGTACACAAGCTCGAGTGATGGTTGTGGATCAAAAACCAAACATTTGAATCGCTCCACCACTCAGATTCAGGAGAGGGAATACCCTCCTCCCGGCAAAGCTGTTTTGGCTTCGTGAAAGCAATCCCAGCTCTTGTGAACTAGATTCGGCCATTACAAGGATGTCGCAGCTAATGCCTTTACCGCATTAGGTAATTTGCTCATTAGTCTTCAGCCACTTATTATCCAAATTCAAGGGCTGAGCAATCTTGGAACGTGGACAGGTAGCACAAAGCTTGTCAATGCGCGCAACGTCCTCACCAGTTGATTGACCATTGTCTTTTCTGCTGCTACCCAGATGAATGATCTGACGAATCATTCTATACTTTTGATAACTGGTGGAATTTTGACCCTCTCCGATTGTAGTACTTTGTACCCTTATGACGTGAATTGCACGGATGCGTTCATTGATGCACGTCAACCTACCAAAATTCTTGTTTTCACGGGTCTGATCTAATTCCAATGTACCCTTTTGTCCACGTTCCCATTACGTCATCTGGTCTGCCTTCAGACAGCTGAGTGGATTATTATTATACGCCTTATCTAGATGTGGAAAACAGTAATAACATCGGTCTGAGTTTAAAAGTAATGCAGCAATTTGACAGTTTTAACATAACACCTGTTAAGATGAGCTCAGTAGACCTACAGGTGGTGCTCGTAGTTGCGCTTAGGTTTTAGAATTGAATGAAACTTCCTCGGTATTTCTATCGTATTAGAAAAATGCGTCTAACAGACTTCTAAGTTATTCGGAAATTCGCGCAGACTCTACATGCCCTATTGGAATCCTGGCTTCAGCAAGAGCAGGCAAGTCGTCAATCATTAACTTGCAGTGCTGCTTGGGTTACTGCGCTTTATATTTCCATCCCCAGTTCAATTGACTCCACTGTCTATTTGGGTGCTCAGTTGCCTGCTCCAGATCGTCTCGTCGGATCCTCTAAATGAAACAAACATTTCCCTTGGGGTTGGAAACTTGAGACGATTCAAGACTACCCGTTCAATCTCACTTCTTCCGACGCTGTTCAATTTCATTCGCACAGTAACCGTCATCTATTTGGCCTGTCAGTTTTCGTTAGGGTTGGCATGAAAATGATTACCTTCCTCGGGCGAGTTAGTTATTGTCCCGGTTTTCAAAACTGCCCTCACACTTCATGCGTAAATCATATAACACTCAGTCTTGATTCGGTTGCCCCCAGGTTATTAGCATCCATTCAGCTCGACAGGCTATTCCCAATTTGTTATTCACACAAACAGGTTTCTGTTCCAACCAAGTGTGTGGACCAAATCTGCACCCTGCGCCAACCTCGTCAACACGAACACCTCTATATGTAGGACATGAGTGTTGTCATCGTAGACATCCGAAATGCATTTCATTCGATTGATCGATCTGATCCATGGCGTTGCTTGCTGACGATCGGGGTCGTATCAAAGCATATTGCTCGGAATAAGCTTGTAACCCACTGGGACTTCATTATTTCAGAAGCTTTTGTATACATTCGCTTTTTGTAGGTTTTATTGTGGCAACGTTTCGCTCCTGACGTAAGAGCTTCTTCAAGCCAGGTGAATCGGTATACAATTGGCTTAGATTTTTATGGGAAAGTAGGTTGAAGATTGCAAGAAATAACACGAATCATTGGATGATAGTATTACAGGTCAAGTGGCCATTCTAGTGTAACAAGAAGCACGTTTCACGTCCATTGCGAAATGTGTCTGCGTACAGGGCCCTAGTGAGGAATTCAGCGGTGGCCGTACACTCGCTAGATGGGGATTGAAATTGACTGGGACAATGTCGCGATTATTAAAAGAGAATTACGAGCAACAAACCAAAGGTTGATTGCTGAGCTGATTGAGATTATTATGACTAATAACTATGTGAACAGAGCGGACGGGGTGGAGTTCTCAATCACGTGGCGGGCTGTCTTAACCCGGCTACTCAGAAAAGGTGTCGGCGGACGAACTCAGGTCGGAGCGTGAATCAGCAGCAACATGAACAAGAATGCCTCACTTGTGAAAGACCGGTGACGCGGATCAATGAGAAACGTTCGATTCTTTTTGTTACACTAGAATGGCCACTTTACCTACTTACCTGTAACACTATTATCCAATGGTTCATGTTATTGCTTGTAATCTTCATCTTACTTTCCCATAAAAAGCTATGCCAATTGTTCACGATTCACCTGGCCTGAAGAAGCCCTTGCGTCAAGAGCGAAACGTTGCCCTAATAAAAATCTACAAAAACCGATTTGTATTCAAAACCTGAAAGCATATTGCTATCCTCCAAAGATCATGCTTTCACGTCTCCGGGAAGATGAAATTTTACGTCAAGTAAATGTTTGGTGTGGCGGACCCGAAACCACGCCACTGCATGACGCGTTTCGACCTTATTTGATTTCATCATATAGAGATAGGATGGGATGTTAACCGAAACCTCCACTTCAGTACGGATCATGGTTCACATTGAGATTGCGCATCGCAATCCACTCACACAATTACTTCAAAATGACTGCAATCAGTTCGCGGAAAACTTTCTTCACTTTTTTC